GGGGGGGGGGGGGGGGGGGGGGGGGGGGGAAGGACCATCAAGCTGAAGACATAATGGGCATAAAAACAAATACGGAGACAAAAGGTTAAAAAAACAATCTTTAATGAGAGGAAGAGATTTTGTTGGTGGAGAATACCCCAGTTTTAAAGCCTAGGTTTCTTATTTTATCCTCTAATTATTTTTTATCTCTGCTGCGCGGTCTCGGTAAGGGTAAGAGACCCAGTTTCTTCTCACCTGAGTGGGATCCAACCTTCTACATCTCCGGAGAAAGGCTCCTAGCCTGCTATCAAACAGACACAGCTCATCGGAGAAGGTCTGAGGGAGAAGACACCAGCTTTGGGACCTCTTTAGGCCACCCTGGGCTTCTACCCAGAGATAGCACCTGGGAGCCTTTCCCACCAAAGCATTGGCTGCACAACATGAGAAAGGAGACCAGAGGGACGCTCCAGAGCCAACAGACAAGGAACTAACAATGATTCTTGCTCCAGGAGGTAAACGTCACACTTTTCTCTGAAATCTCGCAAACGTCTTCCTTACAGGGAAACATCATTGATGATCATTTCTGTGTATTTGCATCCTGCTCTTTGGGCCACGCTGACAAACTGCCTACAGAGGTGTTGAGTTGATGGACTTTCAGAGAAGGCCCCTCGGGTTTTCCGCAGGCTCGGAAGCACCCTTCACCCAGAATCGTCTCCTGAGGCTCGCCTTGGACACTTACAAATTTGTAGACTGTCTTCATGGCAGGGTTTGCCTTCGTCTTCACTGTGTTTAAGAGGGCCCCGCTTCCTTTCTACACGGACAAAGGAAAAATAAGGCATCAGGCTGGTAGAGCAACAGAGCTGAGATGCTGTGACTCCCAACACCCCAAACACCGGGTATGGGTTAGGGTGTTTGAAGCCAATGAATTCCCATTAACTCCGGCAGGCCCATTGCCACAATGGGGTGGCCTCATTCACAGGAAGAAACAGGGTGGGAATATTTTTGTTCCCCTTCCTTCATTTTCAGATTAACAGTCAAATGAATCGTTCGATTTATATGCCGACGTCAGGCTAAACCCAAAAGAATTGCTTTACTTTCAAAGCTCATGATCAGGGCCTTTGAATTAGACGGCCGGACCGTTGTAGCTTTTTTAACGACAAGGTTTAGCTCCTTGCCCAAGTCAGAAACAGTCCTTCCCCTGCTCCCTCTCCCAGGTCCGCGACTGAGAGAAGGATGAATGCCGAGAAAATTTCATCAGGGCTGAACTTCACATCTGATGGCACCTCCAGAGAAGTCTGCCAGAGCCTGACCTCTCAGACGGAATACTTAAGCAGTGCGGTTTCTGCTTTATTTATTTGGCCGGGCAAGTGGACTTGAGTTGCATAATGCATTATTTTGATAAATAAAATCTGGGATGCATAAAGGAGGGGAACCTCCATCCCCTTCACACCCACACTCACACAACGCTGGGCTGGGGGGAGCCATCCTTTTAAAGCAACAATTAACTTTGCTCTGTACTTGCTACTCATCAACAATAGACTTCCTTCCTTCCTTCCTTCCTTCCTTCCTTCCTTCCTTCCTTCCTTCCTTCCTTCCTTCCTTCCACTTCAAAGCATTTCTTTCTTTCAGCACAATCCTTGAAACTCTGTCACTCTTTCAGAATATCACAGAAGCCAGACTTTTTGACTTTCAGCCTCCCTAATAATCAAGGATGCCATCATTCTTTACCGTTCAGAAACTTGGTTTGGAACAAAGTTTGGGGCTCTGGCAGAAAATAGCTTTGATTCTGCTCATTTATTATTTCCCCTGAATACGTCAAGAGATCATTTAAAATGCCAACCCCCAGGATTCTAAGTCGGGTCTGCTGCTCAGAAATCGTTATCGGGGAGCACAGCTAATCGGCATATGCAGCCTCTAAAGCAGAAATAATGACTCAGGTCCTGGGTAGAAGTCTGGTTTTCGAGCACAGTTGAGGAATGCCAGCTCTGCCTGGGACTCTTGGCTGCAGGCAGGCATGGGAGCTCTTGAAGGAACCCAAGAAGAAAGCGATGAAGAGGAAGCATCTACTGTAGCTTTCAACTTACCCTAACAGTTGACAGCCACTGGTGGTAAAGCTTGTCACTGCCTGCCACAAGAGAACAAGTTAAGTGAGATCTTGATGGACACACCACCAACATCATCGATTTCCGCCACCTGCTACCCCAGTCAACAGCCTTAAAACAATTCGTGAGCGAGGAATCCATGCCTTCTGACTCTGACTCTTTAAATAAGGCAAGAGAACCATTTTTTAAGTTCTCCTAGAAGTTATATGAGCTGTTGGTATCCCCTCCGTGCCACCCTCGCTCCCCATCAACACGACTGCTGTTCTCTCTTGTTGTTGGTCTGCATGGAGACATGGTGGGACGTCAAAGGACAAGATGGTGGGAAGAGGAAAACATGGGTAGGCATCTGACACCACTTGACCTGTTATCTTGGCAGTAGCCATGTTGCTATAAGAATTATAGTCACTATAATTCTGATTTCCACTGAATCAGTACACAGCGGTACTTAATTTTTTAAAATCAGCTTTGTTAAGAAATGGTTTTACCTTCTGCATTTCAAACTATATGGAGAACACCGATAATATGAAACAGAGCATTACAGAATTGCTCAATCTGAGGCTCGCCCACTGGTTTTATTGCAACTTAAAATCTCACCAGTACAGTGAGCCCAGAAGTTAGTTCACGGTCGGGATTCCAAAATCGGAGTGCCAGACCATACATTTTGAGGGGGGAAAGTCTAATATTTTCACTTTTAACCTTCTTTAAAAATCAGGACAACGTTATCTTGGCCTTGAAGAATGAGCAGTACCAAAAACAAATGGCATCTTATTTGGATTTCCAACACAGGATAGACCTCTCCTCACCAGCATATTCGCCCAGGTTGATCTCTTCTTCAAAAACATCACTGAACCCTTCTCCAGAGTTGAGAAGATCAAGACGACCATCGATGAACTTCAGGAGAGAGAAAGGAAAAGGCATTATCTGCTGATGCTTGCTCTCTTTTTCAAATGGGACATCTAGAACAATCTAATTTCTTGTTCTCAGAAGGCTGGGGGGCCATTTGATGGGGACCCCATTATCTAATTCCTTTGCCATGAAGATCCAGGGAGACAGAGAGAGGAAGAATACACCAACATAGTCTATTATGGAACATATAATAGGAAGAACACACAATGCTCTTAAAAATAGCTTATGAGCTTGCCTGGGGAAAAAAAAACACAGAAAACACCCCATTCTGACCCATAAATTACACTAATTAGGGAACAAAGTGGCCAGCCGTATTTCACAGCACGTTGCAAAACAGTGATTGTTCTTAACAACCCCCAGTACCTGCTTGAAAAGCTGCAGCTGGATGGCGTTCTGCAAGAATTGTCGCATGGTGGCGGATCGGTGGGAAACAAACGTTTCTTCGCAGAACGTGATGGGCTCCTCCTGGAAATATGAAAATCAGGGGAGGGGGTGAATGGATGTCTTGCCCAGGGCTCTCGAGGGAGGGCCCTCCCTAACAACGGGTTGTGGAAACCTGGATTAACCATCAGGAGGAACGTGCTGTGGAGCAAGGCTTTCTGAATGAGGGAAGCAGGGATCCCACTTCATAGACCTCAACCCCCATCAGTTGCACGAGGAAGAGTTGGTGGGTACTCGGGGTAGGGGGGGGAAGAGCAGCCCTTCAGCTCACTTCTACCACCATCCCTTGCTCATGGAATGCTCCCGGATTAAAGAAAAACAGCAAGTAAATTAAAGAAAAAAATCAAAACCTTAGCACAAATGTTTGCAACTCAGCATTTATTGAAGAGATGTAATGCAATGGAATGAACATGCTGGCATTTACTTGGAATGGGCCCAAAGGAATAAGGGTTCTTGCTTGACCCTTGCAAAGAGATGCCTTTTTTTCTCGGAAATGAGCCTCAAATTTACTACTTGGGGATACCCAGTTTTCCTCATAGCCCGTGCCCTGGCACACCTCAATGTAAGTCTACAAACAATTCAAAATGCCCCACGCTCATAAAACACTTTGAGGGATGTCGAAGCCCCCCAGAACTCTCCTTTTTGCATGCAGGAAACTTAATTGCAACACATAACTGGGCAGAAAGGCCGGGAAGAGTGATCGCCGCAATTTATTTAAGCAGTGGCACTGTGTCTGCTGATCTCAGATGGGATTATAAATTCTGCTTATAAATTCTATTAAGAGGAAGGAAAGAGCAGTTGGGAAGAGAAGGATTTCGGCCGTGGAAAGAGCCACAAATACTGGTGGCCAAGAGATCAGGCTATCAAATGTTTAATTAGGCTGAGCAGACTCTCCTTCTCTCTTTTAGACCCAACTTATGACAGAGTTTAGGACGTAGGTTACTGTGCCTGTCTTCAATTCACGGATCTTCCCATGATCCACAAAGGCATTGGGGCAGATCTAGGATCCCCAGGCCTTCCGGCTTGTATAATACGCCCTGCAAGGCTTCTGGGACATCTGTGCCAATTTAGCCAGATCAACATCACATTTCTCCAAGAAGTGAATTCTGTACTTCCAGGACCACTGCGACAAGCTTTAGTATTTACAAATCTTGGCTCTCGAGGTGAACGTTCCTCGGAGTTGCTGTGGGGGGCGTTGAGCCTTTAGTCCAGTTAAACTGTTTTTGGGGCAGGACTTCACAGGCTGAAATCCCTAACAAGTTGCAGTTTGCTGGCTGGAAATGCCAAGGATTGCAACATGGATCTTCAGTCTGCCATGCCTGCAGAATTGACCAGGGAGGCTGAAAAAGCAACTGCTCTCTCTGGAAGAAATGTTCATCGCGTTGCAGCAAATGTTTTCTGAGGGCTGCAGGGGGAGGGGGAGAGAATAAACGGTTGTGTGTCCCAAACCACAGAAGCTAAAACAAAGAAGGCACAATTGGGAGAGAAAAATGAAATCAACTGGAAATTTTGATTGGGAAGCCCTTGGACCTAAGCTTTCCAGGGCCTCCCACATGCTCCTTGCACCCAGAAAGGGAATGAAGGGAAATGCAATGTTTCTAGAAAAAGGAAAAGAAAAGAAGGGGCATTGATGTTCTCCAGTTTCTCCACTGGGCATGAGCCACTGCTGTTAGGATCTCACCAGCAAGGAATCCCCCTTCAAAGCAAGTTTATTTCCCCCCCAGTGCAGAGACTCTCCATCGCCAATTGTTTCCTTCTGCTCTCCAAGCGGGGACAAGAAAACACCGGATGAATCCTGCCATTCTTCAAGATCTCAGCACCACATCTCGAGCAGGTCTGCAAATTTTGCAGATCAGGGGCCTGCAGTCCCAGCGAGGGGCTTTTCGGCAAGGGGGCTAATACAGAGCGGAGCCACGTGACCACTGCCATCCACGCTGCTATGGCTTCCTTTCACACCTCAGTCATGGAAAGAGCCACCCCCATGCCTTTCATCCCAACAGGAGGGAGAAGGAGGGGAGAAGTGACCGTCTAATTAGATCACGTGAGCCGGGAAGCATCTGGCTCGGAGCATGGCAGTTTACACATCTCCTTGAGTAGTCGTGGAGACAAGCACATGACCAGCTCAGCACCAAAACTCTGGGGCAGCAGTCCAAGTGCACTCTTAACACGTTCTGACAGAGAGCAGATGGGCAACTAGTCGTGAGGCCAAAAGACACGGAGGAAGCCTCCTGGCTCCGGCAAACCTAAATGGGTTCCACCATCCTTTCCCTTCTGGAATGACAGACCCTTTGATGTCGGCCCTGCCATCCAACACAAGGGATCCATTTCCCAGCACAGCCGTGCCTGACACACTTCGGCCTCCAACACTTGTGAATCAGGTTGCGTTGAGTAGGCCTTGGAAGAGCTGCTCTTCTCATTACACATCCCACGTGCCAAGTTTGTTGAGCAAACACCGGCAAAACACACACAGGTCTCAGAGACATGCCCAGAACTTAGCATCTTCAGAAGGGATATTGGAAAAATGTGACTCTTTGCCCCCAGTTTCATGGCGTGGGCTACTTCCCCCTCATTGCAAAGGTCTAGATTCCTTTCATTTTTGCTTGTCCTCCACAAGGATGAGCCAGAATCGATAGGCAAAACCCATAACGGGCAGACTGGCATCCAACTGGATTGATAAAAAGATTGCCACCTTATGTATCCAAGCAGGTTGACTTGTTCTGCCTCTGATGGATCGTGTGGCTTTTCATTATTGGGCAGAACATTTTCTGAAACAACCCTAAAGTCTGTTTCCTTGGACCACCCAGGAAAGGAAATCTTCTCACTTGGATCCGGTCGGATAATTCTGCCTGAGTCAAGAAACTCCACGCTGTCCAGATCTTCTCTTTCCTATCATGACCAACCAGCTGAGTTGCAGCTATTGAAAAAGGGGAATAAAAGCTCGCCCTGAAATTCCCAGCAAGGAATGCCACGCCGTGATGCAACGAGGCTCTGTTCGGACCCTTCAATGCTCTTTCAAGGAAGCCCAATCCTCTCTCTACCTTGCAAACACACACATGCGCGCACCTCATTTCTCAAAGGCCAAATGATCTCAAGGACCTGCTTTGTCTCACGGTTTCATGCTACACCTCTTTAAAGAGCATCCCAAGGAATTTTAAGAGTTAACAAGTCTCGGATAGGTAACAGCCACTGTAAACAACCACAATTCCGGTTAAACTCTCTTGCCATCCTCACCTGACCAAGAGTCAGATGAGATCCATAATTAAGGGGGCTCAGCGAACATCTACCTGGGAGAGGCATTTCTGCCTGCTATTCCGGGGAGAACGCCCTCTCCGTGGAGAGCAGAAGACTCATTAATGAGGCTAATTAGGTGTAAAGGGGGAAGGGCCTGGCATCAGCTGCAGTTTATTGCAGCTCATCATTAATCTCTGTAATCTTTACTCCAGAACAGCCGCTGACCTGGCTCCTCCATGACTGACTGACTGACGTGGCCAAGAAGCTTTGCAAGCGAACACCTGTGTACCTGGCCACGCACCTTCTGGGAGGCTTAACCCCGCAGCTTCCGGGCACCAGACGATCAGAAGCAGGATTGTACAAAGGCTGCTGGGTCCTCTGGGGGTTCCTCGGGGAACCAGCCTCTCACTCGATATGGAAATGTAGCCTTGGAGATCTGGCATCAACATGCTGCTTGCTGAGAGGAGGGACCTGGTGGGAAGGTGGATTTCAAACAGCTCCCCTCCAGTGGAACATGAAATCTTGGCTTCGCGCTTTTTGGTCAAGGCTGATCCCGGGGATGTGCATGGGCCAAATACAATAAATAAATAAATCAGGGCAGGGGGCGATTCATCATGTTACCTACGTGACTAGTTTCCCTGGGGCTCCAAGAAGATTTTAATAAAGGGATCGCTTTGGAGGTCCACCATCGCCGATCCACCATCTTCCTATTCATTGCCAGTCTGCATTTGCACTTGGCAGATCCTATTTTTGCGTTTGAAACAGCCAAGCTCTTGTGGCTTTTGAGAGAAAAGTTCAAGACTTATTTAAACTTTAATTCCTTTCATTCCATTTCAGTTGTGGTACTCCTGCACGATGTTTACAGGTCAGCTCCATGCACCCCGTTTTATCATTTCTGCATTATTGCACGTCATCATGTCTTTGATAGCATATGAATAAGGATACGTTGAAACGTTTTTCATGATTATTCATGACTAGTTGGTAGTACGTCAGGGTGGTGAAGCGTAGCGGTTATGGCACTGGAAATGGAGCAGGTTGAAGACCCCATTCAGCTACGGAGTTTCTTTTCAAGAGTCACTTCCAGCCCCATCAACCTTACAAGGGCTGCAGTTGTGGGGATAAAATTAGGAGATGTTCTACTACGAACGGTCCCTTGAACTTGCAGGGAAAAAAGCAGGATGTAAAGGCAACAATTAATACATTATTTTGAGAAGTTCCTCATCCAGCATTAGAAAGGCAATCCGCAATAATGAAACCTCAGTCTGGTATGGCTGTGTACCCGAGAAGACATACATTTATGCAACCGAGGCAAAGGTTTTATGCATCCAATCCAAGACGCGTCTTAGGTGCCAAGCTCCCACTGGCAGGAATTTTGTTTCCATACTGCATCTATTTTCCACCAAAAGGTACGCATTTAAGGCCAATCAAGTCTGATTGAGTTTGCTCTTGTTCAGAGGGGTACTTCAACACGTTCTGGCTGTGTTACGGTCCATTAATGGACAACACTGTTACAAGATATGATGCCTAACTTACGGAACTGGTTTTGTCCACACAGCTTTGCAACGGGGGTCAACTTCCGTTGGTGGTTTACTAAGTGGGGTTGGTTGATTTGGCCAGGAGTTCAGGGACGCATGACTTATTCTTCTTCTTGGTGATGATGATTACCGGCCCAGATAAGTCTCCTTGAAGTCAAGACTGATTTAATGGACAGGTCCATCTAGTATTCTTGGCAACAATTCAGAAGTGGCTTACCTTCTTCCTTCTTCCGGCATATTTTCTCAGTTTTCTAGTCT